CCCCACCCCCTCCCACGCCCCTGAACCCAGGTTCAAGCCAGCTCCTAGTAGAGACGATAGGGATAAAGAGAAACAGATTATGTAAAACTCCTGTCATAGAAGGGAGCAATGAAAAGACTGGAGAGCTCCAGGCCTTGACTGGATTAGCATAATGGTAGAGGACTGGATGTAAATTTTACAATAACATGTAACCTACCTGTCTTAACTAGCATAGACCTGTGTTTACTGACTGTATGATGGCATCAGTCTTTTTGTTGTGTGTTCTACTTAACATTCAGTGTGACAACTGAGTGCCCTCATACTTTCAGCCTTCCTTTCATAGACGTGGCTGGTAAAGAAACAAAAACAAAGAGGGAAGGTTGGGATGAGAAGCATAAGACTGAAGGAAATGAAACTTACAACCCAGCTTTCTTGTAATTGACTTTGGATGTAAATTTTAGATGTGGCTTTTGGCTCCCAGCAGCACCATCTACTGTGTTGTTTTTGTCAGCAATTTCAGGAGTCTCTGTTGGTGGTGTTGCCATATTACCTGCCTTCTCTCCATGAGAAATGTTGGTCTATTGCTCCTTTTGAACACAGGAAAGCTAAGTAATCACCTGCAAGACTACAGTATGGCAATCTCATTTAAAAGGTAAAATAGAAAACAAAATTGATTGTGTTAAAATAGATGTTGGCCTTATTTAGTTAAGATTAGAGGCAAGTGTTTGCACAGGCAGGGTAGCTCCCCTCTCTGTTCAGCTGAGCTTACCATTCTGTTTAATCTGTTTGTTTTGACTAATCATAGTCTCTTTCAATCTGCCCTGTATCTGCCCGCACAACCCAGTGCTCACTTCACAAAGGCTTTGCTATCAGGCAGCGTTGCTATGGCTGTAGATAGGCATTCTGCTGACCCAGGCAAAGCACACCTGTGTACCTGTCTGTCATTTTGGGCTTGGGAAGTGGAGAAGGTGCAAGGGTGTTGTGTATGTGTTTGATGCTTCTGCTGTGACCTTTAATGTTCACAGAAGTCGGACTGAATTAATTCCTGCCAATAGCATTTCGTGTAATGTTCCAGAGCACAGTGTTGTTTCTGGGCTGCCTGCTGATAATACTTCTCAGGCTGTCTTATCATGTGGCTTTGAGTAGACTACTTCTCAAAGTCAGCTCTTTTATTATACTGCTACTCTGTGTATGTAAGCCACCAGTGAGACCTGGTAATTGTGAGGCGAAGCTTATGCTTTCAGAGTTAAACTATGGAGCAGCATATAGCCTTCTCAGCCTGACCTCAGCAGCCTTTTGCTATTCTGGTATGTTCAACATTACCTGCAAAGCCAGGAAGCATCATATTGCTTCTGTTGCTTCCTTTTCATTTGTTTCTGTGAAACGCAGATGTGCAACAGGGAAGTCAGGTGGCAGTGATACTGGAATTTCTAGCATTTGGTTGCCTTTGAGTTTCCAGGGCATCTTAATGAGGCGGGGGGTTCAGACTGTGCTGCTGCTTGTATCCCTCACTGAGTGAGTATGTGCAAGTCTGCAGTTAGGAGTGATTTCAGAGCACCTGAAATTCCAGGGAAAATAGGAAGTGAAATACCAAACAGATACTTAAAACCTGGGGTCGCTGATCATTTTTCCCTTAGTCCAGGGTCAGGTGTTTGACTGTAATGAAAATTCAAGGATACTGAACAAGTTTCAGGACTGCTGCTCTGCTAATCTGCGCTGCGAACTTCACTGAAAGTTTGGTAATTGGTAATGTCCAATTGGTAATTGGACGTGGGCATCTTCCAGGGATCAACGTAAGGTAGAGACTATTCTTCATGTAGAATAGCGGAGAAAGTAAGTTAAGCTTGAGGATTTCTCATCATACTGTACCAATCTCCAGTCCCTAAAAGTCCTCAGTCAAAGAGGAGCGTCTGAGCCAAAGCATTGTTTGAAAGAGACTTAAAATAGTAGGCTCTATACCCATGTAATGTTACTGCTCCGAAGGAAAGGAGGACTGTCTGCTTCGGAGAGGCTGGCTTACACCTGCGGAAATGGCAGGCCAAATCAGGGCAATACGTGAACTGTTTTTTTATTAGATTGGTTTTGCAACCATCTGCAACCATCACGACTCGGAGATAAAGTGCGAGGCCAAAAGGTATGGCATCTTTAAGATGTTATGTATGGCCACAGGATTTGTGAGCTGATTCAACTACCAATAGTTGAGATTATCCTGTTTTATTAGCTGTTCTTCACTCTTGAGTAGATTTTAGGTCTGCTGTTTCTATGTACTGGTCTGCACGGTGCTTTATTTACCTTTTGTACAAATGATTTGCAAAGGTAGCTGTAATTTTCTTTCCCTTACAAGCTTAAATTGGTTTTGTCTTACGGTCCCCATTGGTTGTCAAAACTAGGCCGTGTGCTGTTTCTTCCCTCTTTCCCCACATACACAAACTAAAATACAGGAAATGGAAGAGAAATTATATTACAAACGAGTGCATTCCAATTAAAATCAGTAATGAGAGAAGTAAGGAAAGTATTTTTTGTCAACAATAGTTGAACATTATTTTTGTTAGAATATGGATCCCTTGAGTTTCTGAAACTTGTGGCTTAAGAACAATTTAATCAGGTTGTTCTTGTGTGAGGTAGGATGTATACAGAGATAATATCTTTTATTTGGCTGATACAGTTGCAAAAATTAGATAGGCTTTTAATTCACGTCTTTCTGTAAGTAAGCTGTTACAAAATCCTTTTTAGTAATTAACAAACTTTTTCTTAGAAGGGAAGTTAATTCAGTAGAAGCCTCTTCAGGTTTTCTTTGTTATATTTTTACTTTCCCTTTAAATTACATTTGTGTTCCCTTCTGATTATCTTTGAAGTTAAAACTTTGTACATGAAATGCTAACATAGGAGTAAAGGGCTGCCAGAGGTGGTCTGGACATTCATAGTGTTAGTGAAGGTAAGGTGCACTGTGTTAACATTCGTATTTTTTCAATATATTTATAGAAAAATTGCAGCTGATTTAATAGAATTGTCTTAAATTCTTAAGTTGGAACCAGACCAAAGTATATTAAGAGTGTTCAGCAGTAAAGTTTGCTTTATGAATTACTATTTTGTACATTTAGTACAGTGGGATTGATCTCCAAAGGTATTACTAACAGTCTTAGACTATTATTATTCAAAATGCTTAATAAAGTGCATAGTTTTAATATGATCTGTTGCTTCTGATAATGTGTGAAATGAAAGGTGATGTATTGACATCTTAATTTTTAAATGATAACCGATTGACCCTACTGAAATTGAGCAGCATTGTAATAAAACATTATACAGTCTCATGTTTGCCTGTCATAAGTGTAGGCATTAGGTTCTGCTGAAACCTGGAGCTGATGATATTTCTAAATCTCATTTTAGACAATAAAAACTTGCTTTGAACTATTGTAGCCATGAATTTTGCAAATACCACTTTAATTTGGGTAAATCTTTGGACGTGTCATAGTGGAATATAATTGTTTAGTAATAAAATGGATTATTTTGTAAACTCACAGTACCAGAAACTCTAAGTGAAGTATACAGATCTGAATTTATTGAGCTAGGCTTAGTTATTCTCTGAGAGTCAGTTCGGTAAGCAGGTCTGAAATGATATTGTGCATACGGTGCCAGGTCGTTATTTCAGGAACTGTTGCTTATCAGAACTGTCTCCTGCCTTTTCTCAAAATGACAAAGCTAAATTGTATACTGACTCTAGGCAGTCAGGGAAAAATCCCTTTTGCTTTAATGATAGATTAAATGTTTCTCCGTATTTCATTATGAAACGAAAATGAAATAATGTTACTGTGCAGATAGAAGAAGCACGCTTTAGTAAGTATGTTTCTTGCATGTTTGTATGTGTGGGGATATAGTAACTGCCTTTTTTCTTTTTCATTTATTAAAAGTTGGGGGAGTGGAACAGTGACAACACTTACAGTATCAGTAAGTGTTAATGTAATTACTGGTCTGTTATTCCTGAGAAAACCTTGCTAGACCTGTGTGCTTAATGGTATGTGATAGGCTGTTTCCTTAGTAACACTTCCTGAAAGAAAGCAAGGCAAAAGACTGTAAATGAGGGGACAGGAAAGGAAGTGTGTAAAGATACCTTATCAAAGCTTTTTAAATCAAAGGAGAGCCATCAAATATTGGCAACAAATTTGCTGGGAAAACAGAACTAGAGAAGATGAATTCTTGGGTCAGGGAGATGTGTTACTGCATTTGGTGGGACGAACTTATTCTGTGAGGTGACCGTGTTATGAAAGGTAATTGGGGATCTAGGAAAAATGGAATTCTGGAATTAAAAATGATCAGTACAGAGTCACTGAGTACAGCTAGGAGGCATTCTGCTGAGCCTGTCCTAATTGCCAGGTCTCAACCTTAGAATTTGGTGTAACTAAGAAAACTCTCTGCAAGTAAAATACTTATTTCCTC